TAAAATTAAAAACTAAATACAGCAATTAACAAAAAATAGTCTTATTTTTTAGTCATTCATATTTGCATCTACTAGCCTTTTATTCTAATATAGCTGGAAAATTTTTCAGCTTGCACAACTGCGATTTTGCCCCTCATTCCGATGTGGTTGGAAAAATTATTAGTAAAGCTTAGGTTACGAAGAGGTACTATTTACTTATTTTCATATTTTGGTTAACACAAGGAACTATATTTATATTTATCTAAGAAGCTTTGTATATGTAGTGTGATTGTATTCATATGTATGTATAGTTGGGATTGAATGAAGGCACAACTATATACTTTTATATTCATCCAAAAAGTCTTTATATAGAGGCGATGAGAAAATTAAAAAACATTCGGTACAAATAAATTAAAAGAGGGAAAATAATGTTTAGAATATACATACCGTCCAATAAATAGTCTGCTAGTTGATTCTTTTTAATTTGTCTTCTTTGTTTTGGATTCACAAGAAGACAATTGCTATTGATAAAAACTTTGGGTTCATCAAAAAGAGATAGAGAGAGAGAGAAATAGAGAAATCAAGTTCAATTGATAATTAACTGTCAAATTGAGATGGGAGGGTGTTGGAAATAATATAGGGATTTAATAAGGGATAATTTGGTAATTGTAAAATTTTATTTTAATTTTTGGTCTTTCAAATTAATTATAATTTTTAAGATCCCTCTTAATAAATACTAATTTTTTTAGGTCCTTCTCCCTAATTTTCTCTAAATTCAATTCTATCACTCTCTTGAGTGGACTCGTCCTCTTTTTTCCCCCCTTTATGTTAACTCCTTATCAACATTTGTTATTTTGTCCCACTCTTACAAGGTAACCCTCGTAGTTGTTTTCATCTCACATGTTTATTATTTGTGATATTATCCAAATTTAGTCTTAAATATCTTGTATGCATCCAATAACTTCTACATCCTTTTTTACTATCTTCTTAAATCTTCAAACAATAATTATTATGTCATTAGTAAGTATACTAAACAACACATTAAAATCCATAGCATTCAATTTCATTTTTTCACATAAACCCTAAACTTATAAATACGCTATTGTAAATTTCCTAACTTCACTTGTTAGAGGGCAAAATATGAAATTGTTACAATTAAGTTGTAAATGTATTAATTCTTCTTATAAATTGTCTAACTTAAATTGTAACACTCTTAAATATCAAATTTCTTTTTTTTTATGAGATCAAATTTCTATATTCATCAATTTGTAAATGTACTAATTTTTCTTGTAAATTTTCTAACTTTAATTGTTAGACTACTAAATATCAAAATGCTACAATGAATTTCTAAATGCACATAATCTTTTTTTAAATTCCTTAACTTCAGTTGTTTAACAAAGCTTTAATGTTCTTTTAATGAGTTGTCATCTTCCTACTTCTTTAATAATATATTCGATTCTAATTATAAAATTTCATTTGTAAACTATAAACAAAATCTTATAATTAGGATCAGAGATAATGTATCAAAAGTAATTCGATATTCTCTTTATAAGTCCACACCACAAAACAATTATTGAAATAATATAAGAGAATCTTTATTCTGATTACGTATATTATTTGCAATAAAGAGAAGTTTTCATAAATGTGATTTATAATATGAATTGAAATTAATTAGGCACTTTTGAACATATATTTTGCGTTAAAATTTTATTAAGAATTATAATGAAGAGAATTTCTTAAGGATATATTAAGTTAATATTTTTTAGGCATTTTAATTTTATACTTAATTGGTTTATTATTTTCTTATTTTATAATATAAATTAATTGAGTTGGCAAAAATGAAAAGATTTGAATTTTTTTTAATATCTTTCTATTTAAGAAAAAATTTTAGTATATTTTAAAGAATGTTACACATGTATTTTTTTTGGGTACCTCTTTCGTATTGTATCAACTGGTATTAAAGTTTGATTTTTGCTTCTCTTCCACTCTCGTTAAAAGTTAAAACCTTTCAAAATCAATCACTTTAATATTTCCAATATACATCAATTGGTATTAAAGCCACATTTCCTTCTTTTTTAACTCTCATATAAGCCTTTCAAAAACTTGTTTTGACCTACCCATCCTGTATTAATTGGCATTAGAGCTAAATTTCTACTTTACCTCTACTTGCACAAACATTTTAAAATCAATTCCCTTTTACTTACCCTGCAAAGTTTTTTTTTTTAACTATTTGAGAAATTTATTTTATTTATTTTGAATTCTAAATCCATAAAATACTGTTATATTGATATTTGAAGATGAGCTTGTTGTTGTTTTTTGCAAATCGATATGACAACCCAAGCCAGATGAGTCTAGTAGAACTAACTATATTTGTAAGTAGTACAACAATAAATTTCTTTTTATACATTTAATTGCATTAACTAATAATTAAGATACTTTTATGATACAAACAGTTATATGAAGGGGTGATGGGCTAGGCTATATGTGACAAGCTCCTAAGCAATTTAGGGAACTAACGCTGCCTTTTACATGGCGTGACCTTGCTCAATAAGAGCCGGATTTAACAGCACAAGATTCTAATTTTGATATGTTCAACTTAGGTTGTTTGCTTTCATAAGTTTTTATTCAGAAACACTTGATTGGGAAGGGAAGTTGCTTCAAAAAAATATCCTAGAAGGTCAAAGGGAATATTAGATTGGACTTCAAACAACGATGAGTTTAGAAGCGTGATTGAGGAGATGATAAAATTAAATACTGATACTAGGTGTATACGTGATTTGGTTTTGAATTTGTTTGATTTGTATAGAATTTGACTGACAAAATAAATTGTGTTTTAATGGTTTTTGGGATTACAATGAATGAAAACATATTACATTCCTTATTTTAGATTCCTGAAAAAGCACTAAGACTTTTATGCGTGGCTAGTGACTTTTTATGCTAAAAAGAAAAAAAATATAAAGACTTTTAATGATCATAATAACGAGTGGCGCGAACTTATTAGGGTCGAGAGAAGTCCATAGTGGGATACCAAGGATCCATTGTTCAAAAATTTGTTTTAGACAGATGATGATGATGGTCGAAGAATACTTTGTTATTTGAATAATATTGCTGACCTGGTTATAATAGAAGTTTATATTTTCACCTTAAGAGTTGGCCTATAGATCTTCGGGTAAAAATTTTAAAAATTGAGAGAAAAATACGGGTAACAAATTAAAAATTGAGAGAAACTATAAGTACCTGCAAGATGGTTTTCTCAAAATACTAATTAGTCATATGTTTCTCTGGTACTCTATTTATAAGATATAGAGAGAAAATTTTTATAGGAATATACAATTTTATCATTTATTTACTATTATGTTGATTTTGTTCTAATAGGATATAATAAATATGGATAAATAGGATGAGACGAGTACAACGTAAGCAATTTTTATAGGAATATATAATTTTATCATTCATTTAATATTATATTAATTTTGTTTTAACAGGGTATAATAAATATTAAATGTGGATAAATAGGATGAGAGGAGTATAACCTAAGCTTTTGCGGCGCGCATTACGATTTGGGCTGTTGGGATTTTGGGCCACAAAGGTATTCTAGCCCATCTACTTATAAGGCTCAATGTTTTGATGAGTTTATGTCCAAGATGGAGTTTTTTTTTGGTTGGACGAAAGAAATTGATTTTTATTAATCACAACAAATTATCACACTCACTAATTCAGAATTAAAAAATAAAAAAAAAATAAATTCAAATTATTATAAAATAAGAGTCTCTGTTTTTTTTTTATGAAGATTGATTTCGAATTGAATTTCTTTAAAATTTAAAATTAGTCATTTGAAAAAAAATTTGTGGCGTTTGCTTGATTCTTCTCCATGGCTTTCAAATGTAAGGTTCAATGATATCATGAGTAGTACACCCTGTGTGGCCTTTGAAGTTGTCCATTTTTAGACCTTACAGTGCAGAAGTCTTATGTTTGGAGTATAGGCAAGATAACAAATTTTCTTATGTGGTAGTCCTGCATTTTGGGAGTGAACTAAGTGTACTATATTACCTTATATTTCAGTTTCTTGTTTTGGGTGGTTTTCAATGTGAAATTTATTTTTATGTTTCCTTTAAGCTACATACGGCAAATATTTTTTGATGCCCAAAAAGAATACAGTAAACATTTTTATATTGATATATACAAAAGTTTATTTTAGTTATTTTTTTATCAGTAGTGAACTAATATTTATTGGATACATGGGGAAGTAAAGTCTAGTTAGAGAAACAAAAAGGCTTACACTTTCACATAATAAATAAAAGTCCTTTATTTTTGGCAGAAGATTGAGTTTGGAATTTAGATTCTTTAAAACGAAAAATTTACAAAGATATTTCTAAAATAAAAACATATGCAAAATAGAAGAAATAATCATTTAGAAAAAATGATTTCTTTATTACTCTCTCTATCATCATATATACAGTTGCAATGAGGGGGGAAAAAATCAAAAGTGAAGGTTTAACCAAATGAAAGAGAGCATAATAAATGGCTCAATAAGATGAGTGGTGCTATTCATTTCTTCATGACTTATAATTCTTTCTATGCTTTCTATACTTTTGATATTTTCTCAATTGGCAATTGTATCAATGAAAAGATATATAAGCCCTTGACAGTGGAGAAATTAAACCTCCACAGCATATTAAATTACCAACTGACTGCTGCCAAATGGATTCCTGCACATCAATTTAATTACGTAGTAACCCTTCATAAAGGAACCTTAATGAGTCCTCCACAAGTCTAAACTTAATCTTAATAAAATCATAAGACATGAGAATTTCCTACGTTCCAAACTCTTGTGTCTAGGCATTTCAAACATTTATATCACTCTTATCAAGTTAAGGACAAAGTCCGAACTTTTTGGCCATATTAAAGAGAGGATTTGTTTGGGAGAAAAAAAAATCATGAAGCCCTTCATTGCTCTCAAGTTTCATACGTATCATTTGATTATCCAATTGAATAACACACGTAATGAGAAAATGCAAATATTACAGCAAATAACGCAAGTCATACTGATATCAATGAAACGGCACACTACTTTGCTTTTGAATGATAAAAATTGCATACCATAGTGATCTGTCAAATTACAGAGAGGTCAGTAGCTGTATATGAACTTACTATTTAAACAAGAAAGAAAGGAGTAATTACAGATGTGATTGACCTTGAAATTAGTTCGCTCTGGTTCACGGTGGGTCACCCAACCTGCTTGTGTATTGCATGAGGAAATAGTATTTTCCATCCAAATTTTGACAAAACAAATCATGAGAACATGAAATTGCTCAAAATATTAGGGGAATATACTTTTGACTCAGGGTGGCCAAGTGGAAACTGGACACTCCACGGGGGGTTGAATGACACACTTCAATCAAAAATGGGGAAAAACTAATTTCAGACAAGCACATGAGGGTAAACTATAGAAAGAAACAAAGCAATTCATCCACCAACTGCCCCTTTAGATTTGGAAATCAAGTTTCCACCCACTATTAACTAGACTAAGCTGATCAAATCTCTGTATTGCAAGTAGCAACAGTGGCAAAGCCCAGAAGCTTCAAAATAGCAGGCCATGAATGATTCTCATGGGGAAATGATTTTCCTGTGGGAGTGCCCTCCAAAAGAGCTTAGGTCTCCATCATGATCATGATCATGGAAAATTAGGGTCAGAACTCCTACCAAACACAGCACTGAGCCAACAAGAAGTTTGTCATACCGCTCCACCCAATGAAACTTTAGCTGACTGGCCCCATAGAATGACAACGCCACAAGTGACGTCATCACAGTTATAGTGCTGTAAAAGCCACATCATGAGTGAAGCTTGATAACAGGGGAACGTATCCAAACATGACTTGCACACTGAATAGACATTTTAGAATTTAGCACAATATGCTCTATAGAGCTTGCTAGTGTAAATGAAACTTTGAGGCTTTCCTTGAAACAATAGGCAAGTGTTAAAGCAATAAATGACATACTAATGGATCAAGTGCGTCACCGATTTATGGTCTCTGAAATGTCAGAGTGAAATAGGGAATAAGATGTGTGTGTGTGTGTTGGGGGGGGGGGGTTGAGATTAGAAGGAGGCATGCTATCAGCGTGTCAATGGAAGGGTTCTCTAGCCTCTTGAATGCTAGAGAAGGGCAGTCAATCATTTTCGTCTATGCTGCTTATGTTTATACTCTATAGCTTTAATCTCTCAGTTCTTTACTCCATGACTTCTGCTGATTAGAGGAGACCTCAGCTTGGCTTGTATAAATAATACAAGAATTACAAGGGGCTCCATGATATTTGATCAATGTCATTCATGTATCCGTTGTATGGACATCAAAACACAAATTTTCATGAAATAGAAGGCAGTTCAATTTTCTTTCCACAAGTCTATGGTAGGGCCAATATCATAAATGATCACTTAATCAAAGTCAGATTTTCAAATAAACACATTAATTAATCACATATTGACAGAAGAGATAGAAGCATCCTCCAATTATATACGCATAAATAACAGAAGCAAAATCTTAATGAGTAAAGAAAAAGGAAACCTGAGAAGCAGCACTATAATGGCAAGAACCATCATGGAAGATGAATTTCCAACAGCAAGAAATACTGGAAGTGTTGTTGCACAAGGAGATAATGCAGGAACAAGAATGAGTCCAGCAACAGCCATTTTCTCCATGGGTTGGTTGTGAGAATGACTATGGCCACCCTTTCCAGACAAAAACAACAGAACATAACCACCACCAAGAAATATGAGCAAAACTGAAGCAAGCTTATGCACTGTTTCTTCACCAGCAATAGTATTTGCCATGGTGATTGCCGTAATCCCAAGAAGTGAAGTGGATATTACATGCAAAATTGCTCCAAGTGCAGCTGAAAGAATAAAATGACAAAGTAAGGATATTGAGAAGCAATCTGTAAATAATCTTCGAAATCATGTTTGCACTTGTCAGATGACGCCAGGCAACAATCAGTTGATACAATCCATTTAAGGCCCTTCAGCATGGGCATTTTTCTCCATGATGTTAGCTATAACAAGAAAAAATAAGAACCTTCGATATAATATGTTTCCTTTCATTTTTACATAATAAGAAACCTGATAAAGTGAGAGATTGCAGCTGTGCAGCAACCATATAAAATCAAAGGAAAAAAATTACAGAACAAAAGCACAAGAGTAAAATATTAGTACACTTGATAGTAGGACCTCAGTTGAGTACTGTCTTTTAGCAAGATAGAATAGCAATATTTAACAGTATTCACTATGTTAGATTCTAAAATTGTCGGTCATAAGCTATGGGATATTAGAAGTAAAATATTTACCGAATTAAATCAAACATAGGGCACCCAATTATATCGGGTCAAAATAAAAAAATAATAATACTAAGAATAAAGATATGGAGGTTCATCAGAAACCCATCACCAAATTTGACTATAATTACAGAAATCAAGCCACTTGAAGAGGACATTAACTCATCGATGTTGCTTTTATTCAATCCAGTTTCCCTCCTCAATAAAAAAAATAATGCTTGTAGAGGTCGGTCGAAGAAAATCGTAATTCCGAGATCCTCATAAAGACTAGCACATATAACGTACAAAATTTTTGAAAAAAAAAAAAGGAAATACACTGATTGAACATTGCCGAAAACAGAACACAGACCAGTCCAAATGTATTCAACACAACTTCATATTAAGACCCCAATTTCCCACGATTTTTCGGGCAACAGGAAAGCAGGAACGATAACTTCTTTACAAAATGAGATCTAAACACGAAATTCAAGCAGGTCCGAGATCAGGAGTGTAGAGACGTACTGACGAGCACAGTGCGAGAGAGAGTCCATTTCTGGGCGCGACCAACGATGGAGAAAGGAAGCCAGTGGGTGGGAATGAAGGAATGTAGGATCGAAACAGTGGCGATTCCACCAATAGTTGAGAGATCTTCGGCGGTGAAACTATCCATAACAAACCGATAATTTTCGCAGAAGAAGCGAAATTATAAAGCGGAAATTTTCTACCTCCTGAGATCTCCAGGGGAACTTTTGCAGCTTCGACGCCTTTCCATCACCGGGAAGCTGGAAGGAATCAATATTATATGGTTTTCCACTTTTTTTTTTTTTTGGGGCTCAGAGCAATAGTATTGCATATTACTCATCTATTTTATTTATCAATTTTAAAATATCATTACTCAGGTACGAGTATTTCATATTTTTTATTAACTCCATAAAATTATTTATAAGAGAATTTTTGAATAAAAAAATAAAAGTCACTGACAAATGTACGTACCCCCCTCTGTTCTTATAGCAAGAGAAAAGATTTTTTTAATCCTTCTATAAGTGACACCATTCAATAATATAAATATCTTATTTTACTCTCAATTTATTGTTCCATAAATTATTGTTAAAGTTTATATATTAATATGAATAAATTTGAAAAGTATTACCTCCACTCTTTAATATAAGACTTTGTTTAACTTTTATTTTGATTCTAAATATATAATCTCACTCTACTTTGTCTTTCATATTTGTATATATTTTTTAAGATAATCTATCTAATAACAGTAATTCTAGTCAATACACTTTATTAGTAAGGATATTTTAAAAAAATAATAATTATTTATTATAAATAACTAATTTAACTTATTTTTTTAATTTTCTTAAATTAGTTAACTAATTCTTATATTTAAAATAGAAGATGTTAATAAGATTAAATGTTTTCCTTAGTTCAACTAAAATATGTTAAAAATAATCTACAAATAAGTCAGAGGAATATGTATATTAAGAAAACGGAGTAAACTTACCTCCGGGTGCTTTTGGCCCATTATATCCCGTTATCCTATCAATAAGAACCATCTGTACAATATTTACCCATAATCGTACACGGCGTTTGTCCCCTCTATCATCTCCCTTCGTTATTTTCACCAGTCAAAGGACAAAACTCAAAATAAACGTGAGAGGCTTGTGGGAGACAAGGAGGATAAGCTAAAATTTCCACCATACGATGATTCTGATTCAGACGACAAGCATGGGTCAACAGCAAAAGTAGCAGTGGTCATTTTGAATGTGAGAACTTGTGGGATGAGCGTCGTTAACGATGATGTGTAAGTATTGTACATATGGGCCTTAATGATAGGATAACTGGTTGTATTGGACATAAGCACCTGGAGGTACGTTTTCGGAATTTTTGTCGAAAACCTATAATCAATACAAGATTTTACCTAAATTCTATCCGGTGGAAATTATCTACTAAAATATTATATTGAAAATCATTTACATGAAGAATGATTTTAATTTTACAAAAAAATGTTGCTTTTGTTATGAATAAAGAAGAATAGAGAAGAATCATACAAAGGAGATAAGAGAGAGTTTTTCTCATTCCATTCAAGAGTATACAATACATTATACATGGCCTCTATTTATAGGCACAGCTTTACATCTTTGATAGAATCTACAGATTACATGATAATATGAGATAATTGTATGATATAGAGATAATGGGAGATATTAGAGATTATAGGAGATATAGAAGATAAAAGGAGATATATGGACATCCACAAAGATATTATTATATTCATAACACTCCCCCTTGGATGTCCAATATATATGAATGTGCCTCGTTAAAAAACTTCAACTAGGAAAAACCCTATGGGATAAAAATCTAGCGAAAGAAAAAGAGTACATCATTCATTGATACACTATACAATGCTGCCTCATTAAAAACTTTGCTAGGAAAACCCAGTAGAACAAAACCATAGATAAGGAAAAAAGAGTACAGCGTGTATCAACTCCCCCTCGTGACAACATCAGTTGACATCTTGGAGCCTGCAAAGTCTAATATAACGAACAACCCTTCCAAATATTGTAATTAGATAAAAACGTCAAATATGAATTTCATAATCTTCTAAACATTATGAGGTGAATAGTCCTTTTATAGTTTACCCACATGTGGATCATGCTGTGATCTCTTAACATGAAAATCAAACAGAAATACTTTATCTACATAGCCAGTAAAATTAGTTGTGGGTACTTTCAGATATCCACAGTATCCTTTAAATGAAAAATATTCTTAATTTCGCTCCATCGTCTTTATATTAGCGACAAACTATATCATGCTAACTAGCAAATGATATATTGAGTTATGTGTGGCTAGATAGATACATATGTGCTCTAGTGACACTAAAGCATGGTACTTCTGGACCAAGTATTTGTTCATTACCTTCTAGAGATCTAAATCGATCTTTAATCCATATCTAAAGATCTTGCAACTACCAAAACACATAATGGATGTTACTTATCTGCATAATGGATGTAATTTATCCATATGTATTCTTCTTAAAGCTTTTATTTCAAACTTTTTCTTTAAGTAATTTGCAGTTTTTGAAAACTCATCAGGAGTTGTGATACTATCATTATAAATAGTATTGATAACAGACTCATTTTGAATCTTTTCATAAACAGACAAGTTGGAATAAGTTTACAACATTCCTTCAGTTGATATTAACTACATGTGTCTCATATAGAGACTTATTTCAATGATGTTCTTGAGAACATAATTGTATGCTTCTAGAAACTTAAATCCTTCAAGAATTTTTATACATTATGATTCATATCTATTCATGTATTGGATCGTTTATATTTATACAAGAATTTGAATCCTTCTGGGATTCACATATAATTTCACTACATAGTGGGTCACTATATTTCTAGACGCATATGAGATTTTATCAAACTGCCAGATTGATAATATACATAAAAATTTTAATTCACCCCAAGATTCTTTTTCTCTTTTCTTGTACAAATACCCCTTACATTTCAGGTGTTTGGGTTAGAGATACACAAATCTCCTCTTATAATGTTGCGTCTTTTCTTTTCTGTTGGCCAATCATTTTTCTATCTATATCTCATAACAAATTTATATATAAGATCCTCACTTGATCATGTGATATCATCAATCAAATTATTGTTGACAATTTTATTCCTTTGTCGGTCCCGTTTTCTTTTATGACATAATATATCGAGATCTCTTTATTGCTTTCAGACACTTAAACCTCTTCAGGGGTCAAAGAGTTATGTCTTAATCTCTTTTGCAATTCATGCCTCCTTAGTATGATCATCATTATCATTTGCTCCTTTTTCTTTTCTTTTGGAATCGATCATAATATCATGCTTTTAACATGTCTTCAAGAATAGGAGCATTTTTAGCCGGAATATAAGAATTAAAAATTCTCATTTGGGTCAATAATTGCATCTAGCAGACATTAGTAATGTTTTACAAATGCAATACTTCATGAACTTCTAGTTCATACTACTATATTTGAAGATCTACATTTGATAATGAAAGTACATTCTATGTTTTCTCTTTTCCAGCTATACATTTTCTCCCCCTCATATTGGGAATATACAATGTAGGTCTCCCAAATCCATAAATTTCTTTTAGAAACATTATTTTGTTTCATTTAGAGACAAACAAAAATAAGGAGGTTCTTATCCAACATTGATCCCAACTTACTTTTAATATCCCCCTATGTCCATTATTACGATGGAATAATAAATATTGCATATTCTAAGATGAAAAATGTCTGACTCCTGACCAAAAGCCAAATATAATGGGAGAATTCACAATACATTGTTGGCTTGATGCATTTATGTGCAAAAATATATAAAATCAATCATCCCAACACTCAAGTAGGAATTATGTTCTCATAAACTCTGATCTAACTACTTATGGAGGCTTTTACTAGGCATATAATTATCAGCAACGTGAGGAACAATTACTAGCAATCTCAACAAGAATCGTATTGATTTCATAATCAAGAACTTATGTACTTAATGTAATTATCTGAACATATTTGCAAACTTCAGGTTGCAAGTTGATCATAAACACCTGTGACCATTTTATAGATGCATCTTTCACTTATAGAGTATTACTTTGGTCTACATGGTGTCTAAATGGGCCCATATATAAATCTGATACATTATAAATTTGTACGGATCCGATTTTGAGCATAGCTAGTGATGTTCTCTATGAGAACAAACAACACATAAAAATTCTTGAATCACATATCATTTTAAAGAATCTTCTAGTTCTTTAATAAATGACAATGCACATTTTTTTATGATATTTTGCATCATTATGATCCGGGATGATCTGACCGGTCATGCCAAACTATGAATGCATAAACTTCTGGTTTATTGTAAAATTATTCTCAATTATTGGTAAACTTCTTATTACCATGTTATATTATTTATTTTTTTTCCTTAATATTCCATAAGGAATATGTTATCAATTATAGATTTTATCTTCAGGATAATAAATAATGATATAACTCTTCTAGAGCATTAGTTTTTATCTTATACCCAAATGGTAGAAACCTGTGTACTCATGGAAGGTTGAGCGCTATTGGCTCTTCTGGAGCTTTTTTCAAAAGGAACATGAGATATAAGGAATGAAATTAATATTAATAATAACAAATTCCATCTAACATGATTCACACTTGTATTTCAACAATTTCAACAATCTCCCCCTTAAGTATGAGTCATATAAATATATTTTTCTTATTTCTGTATTTCAAATACAATGAATAATATATAGTAAGCTAATAACATATCTTTAACTTGAAAATCCAAATGCTTCCTGATTCATATATAATAATAGATTTAAATCTAATTGAGCTATCACTTTAAAACCCTTTAATAAGCAAATATTCTAATATAAATGTTTGTGGGTCATAATTTTTCATTATCAATTTCTTTTCTGCCCACAAAAATAATGAGGGGAACTAAATTAGTTATTCAAGAACTATATCAATTTTGTTACTAGTTCTTCATGAACTATATCAACATTTTGCTATTAGTTCTTCTGAAACTATATCAATCTTTTGTTATTAGTCCTTCTGGAACTATATCAATTTTTTGATTACATATAGTTCTTCAAAAAAAAATGCTATATATAGTTCTTCAGGAACTAAAATATATTATTATATCACTATATGGTATATTTCACTTTTGTTATACTTTTTTTTCCCTCAAAATATGAAGTATTTTTTTTTAACAAAATATATATTTTCTCGATATTTAGTTA